TGAGCCACAGCGCCACTTCCGGCTTTTTTCTTTTTGCTTATGTGGTACTGAGGAATCGAACCCAGGGCCTCAGGCATAGCAAGGCAAGCACTCTACCACTGAGCCAACTTCCCAGCCCATGCCAGGACTTTTTAATCCATTGTGTAAGTCCATATTTCCATATGGTATCCTTTTCCCCAAAGGATTTACTTTAATAATTTTTATGCTGCAGCTATGCTAGTGATGAATTCTTTCTATATTTCTATCTCTAAAAAATTAATGACAGTATTTTGTCTTTATTTTTATAAGTAGTTTGCATTGAGTACTAGTTTCTAGGATGGTAATTTTGAAGTTTATATTGCTAGTTTAAAAATATTACTTCACTGTATTTTCACCTACATTGTTCCTTACAATATACAACAAGGCTAACCTTTTTTTTTCTTGAAAGAATTTTTTGTAAGCTCAGAGTGGTGGTACATGCCTATAATGTTAACACTTGGGAGGCTGAGGAAAAAAAAAAAAGATCAAAAGTTTAAGGCCTAAGCTACATAGCAAAACCATATAAATGCTACATATAATGAAAATTAATTTTCCTTATACTAGTTTTAATTGAGATCTGTCTTGGTTTAGTTTTCTTCATGTTTCTGTGCTTGAGATTTCTGAGGGTTTTGGTTTTTTTAACCTATAGGCTCAAATTTATCATCAAACTTAGAAAGATTTTGGTCAGATTTTTCCAACTATTTCTATTCCAACTTTTCTTTTTTCTCCTTAAAGGACCCTAATTAAATATATATCTAGCTGTGCAGTGTTTTGCTACAGCTTTCTCTACTTTTTTTAATCTTTATTTTTACTACTCCATTTTCTATGTTGTGGACAGTTCCTGTTGCAGTATCTTCACATTGACTCATCTCTTCTTAAATAGGGAATCTGCTCTTCTCCAATGAATTTTCACCCCACATATTATAGTTTTTTACCTGTGAATGTTCTTTTTGAGTCTGCTATATCTTTTTATACTTGACATTTTTACTATATATAACACCATTTTTTGTTTCATTTTCTTTTATTTGGGGATGTTCTTTTTTGCCAGTCCTGGGGCTTAAACTTAGGGCCTGGGCACTGTCCATGAGTTGCTTTTGCTCAAAGCTAGCACTCTACCACTTGAGCCACAGTGCCACTTCTGTGGTACTGAGGAATCGAACCCATGGCTTCATGCATGCTAGGCAAGCACTCTACCACTAAGCTACATTCCAGGCTGTAACACAGTTTTTTAGTAGCATTCTTAATTCCCTTTTCTGCTAGTGCTAACATTTGTGTCATTTTTTTTTATTTGAGTTGTCTCTTGTTATGGCTAATATTTTTCTACTTATGTACATATTATTAAATTTTGTGTGTAACATCGTTTGGATTTTAAATTTCTGTATACCATACATTTTTGTATTGTTTTTCTGAACATTTTTGTGGGTATTTAGAAGCCATTTCTTTCCTTCAGATTGTGTGTGTGTGTGTGTGTGTGTGTATGTCACACACATACACTTTTAGAACAAGAACAGTGTTCCATCTAGGGCTGTTGACCAAAGAAACAAGACTCTTTAATGTACTCTTCTTTCTTTCTTTTTTTTTCTTTTTTCTTTTTTTTTTTTTGTTGGTTGTGGGGCTTGAACTCTGGGCCTGGGCGCTGTCCCTCAGCTCTTCAGCTCAAGGCGAGCGCTCTACCATTTGAGCCACAGCACCGCTTCCAGATTTTTCTGCTTATGTGGTGCTGAAGATTCGAACCCAGGGCCTCATGCATGCAAGGCAAGTGCTCTACCACTGAGCCACCTTCCCAGCCCCATACTCTTCTTTCTATATGTATGTGCTGGTCCTGGGGCTTGAACTCAGGTCCTGGGCACTTTGTGCTTTTGTGCTCAGGGCTAGTGCTCTGCCATTTAAGCCACAGCTCCATTTCCAGCTTTTTTGGTGTTTAAATGGCGATAAGCATCACACAGACTTTCCTTCCCTAGACTGGCTTTGAATGGGCTTTTAATCAGGTCTCAGCCTCAGCTCTCAGCTCTCAGCCTCAGCCTCAACTCTCTACCTCTTGAGTGGCTGGGATTACAGGTGTGAGTCACTGGCACCCTACTGTTCTGTGAATCTGGCTTCTGGATCTGGCTGGTGGAAGTAATGACTGTGACCTGTGAGTGCAGAGCACTCCGTCTTTTCTGTGTATTCTTTCCTTAGCCTTGAGAAGTTTTCTCACTTGTATGTGCTCATCTTAACCTAGTACAATGCTCAAGGAAGAGCCTCTAGTGCTGCTTCTGTGCTGCTGTCTCCTCTCTAGAACTTGGTCCTGTAGCCAAGTTCTGTCGCCACATTCTTCTCCTTGTGGCCATATTCTCCCTGTCTCATCAACTCAGTTTGCCTTCCACTTAGGTAAGCCTTCAAGTTGTTAGTCAATCTCTGTTACTTCATTTTGGCTAAGTAAAAGTCCTCTTCACTTTGTGCCTATATCAGACAGATCACTGTTATTTTCTCTCATTTTAAGTGCAAAAAACATACACCCCTAACAAACTTAAAGCATACTCATAATAAATGTTAAGAAGAGTTAAATTATCTCTTTCAAATTCTACAAACAGAGTCCTCTCTAAACCCCTCTAAACCCCTGCAGACCTGCTCCAGTGCTCCTTTCCTGTCCTTCCTTAAAAAGTGAAATATTCAGTAAAATAGCTCAGTTAAAACTTTAACAATTTAAATTTGTTTGAAAGATTGACATGAAACTCAGCAGTGCCACACTTAAGGAATGAAAGCTGCCTAGTTGTTGCAAGTGTCACCTTCACTGCTTACAGCAGATACAAACCCCCAAGCGGATTAGAAGCCCCTCCCATCTTCACTGAACAGCACTCCTCCTGTGTGCCCAGTCTCCAACACAAGAAAGTTTCTTCCTATAGTCTTGAAACGGCTAAATTCTCCCACCTTAAAGACCTTCTATGTGCATCATAAGTGAACAAACACCCAAAGCTTAGTGATAAGCTTTTATCTAATTACTTGTCAATTTGTTTTAAATACTTGGTCTTTTTGTTTTTAGGAACATAGCTACAGTGTAATGGACAGTCCAAAGAAACTTAAGCATAAATTAGATCATGTGATCTGTGAGCTGGAAAATACCAAGGAAAGTCTACGGAATGTTTTAGACAGAGAAAAACATTTCCAAAATTCATTGAGAAAAACAATCAGGGAATTAAAGGAAGAATGTCTGATCAGCCAAGAAACAGCAAATAGACTGGACGCTTTCTGTTGGGAATGTCCAGAGAGCATGAAATAAGACGGTACTCTGAAAGAATTTCATGTCTGGTTTACCAACAGTTGGTATTCACCCAGCTTCTTAGAAAATGGCTGTCACATACTGTCATCACTAACACCATTGAAAGCTCTTCTTTGGATCCTCTGGAGCATTATGAATTATAGTTACCCAAAGACTCCTTTGAAGATGTCTAAAAATACATGGTAGTTACCAGTTTTTTCTGTATGTGACTCACAACCATTGTATTTTTTTTTTTTTTGGTCGGTCGTGGGGCTTGAACTCTGGGCCTGGGCGCTGTCCCTCAGCTCTTCAGCTCAAGGCGAGCACTCTACCACT